AAAGGGCACATGTGGGAAGGGCTCATTTGGCACTGGTTGTGACTTGTGTGCCAGAGAGGCCTATACCTTTGTTGGAGGATTGAACCATGAAACACTGGTAAGGGGGTAATAACCATCCATTCAGCACACCCAGGAGGGGCTGTGCTGAGCAGGACTGCTGAACAGCTGATACCTTGGAGTGGCATCTTCGTTTTGATGAATGAATGGCAGAGGTAACAATGCGTGCAGAAGCATAAAAATGAGTGTGAAAGATAGTATTACACAACTCTTAAGAACTGGTTAGGGAGGTATCAGGGGGATGAGAGAAAAGGTCCCGTCACCTCCTGCATATCCACACCCTCATTTAAAATGGTTTACTACTTTTCTCCCACCTACAGTAAACTGTTCTGTGGTCAATAGGCAGGCTTCCACCCTCCCAACTCCCTAATTGGAATTCACCAGAGCAAGCCAGACCTGAAGTTACACGTGAACACTGAGCTTGAACTCTGGGCACCTTCCGTGAATCCTTTGGTACCTTGAACCAACATGTTGGACGAAGGTATGAATGAGACCTGCCTGGAAGTCAGTCACATTCCATGGTCAGACTAGGAATGACCCCACACACCATTCTGTCAAGCTGGGCCTCAGGATGTTTGAGGAAGTCAGTGCCAATGCACTTAGCAAATAAGAAACAGGATTTAGTGCAATTTAATCACCATATGGATGACTTGTGGATACATGGACAGTAAACAAAACACAAAACAGCATTTTTGTTTTTTTAAATGGCACCTAGTAAAGACTGAAACTCAAAATTTGAGACAATCATCCAGTCCTTTAAAAGTCCATGGACAGTGAATTATAAGGCACTTGTAGTGTTTCTGCTGCCACCTGAAAGTGGTGGCAGGTGCTCTCAAACCCAGCCTGTTGTGAGGGATGATCAGTGCTCCACCACATCCACTGCAGACGGCTACCACGTTGGTCCACAGGACGTGCTCTGGCCAGCTTGGCTGCCCTCGTGTTCTCTAGTCTGGCTAAATGGCCGCATATTCAATACAGAAATGGGTCTCTTCAGGAAGCGCTGGCCTGCTTGAGACCTCGAAGGTTGGAATGCAGATGTCTGTGTCCATTTTGAATGAAAAGGGCAGTGTCAGAGTGGGATGACCTGGTCGGGCATCCACTTCACTTTGTCCAGGAGTTTGGGACCAGCTTTCTATGTGGACGCAGAGAAAACTGGGTATGAGAGGCTATGCTCCGAAGAGAATGGTGTCGGTGACTGCTTGCGACAAGCTCACAAGTTTGTGCTACTGGTCTTTATACCAAGTCAGCCTGCAGAGGTGCTGGCCTCTGCTGGCTGCCTGACCTACTCAAGTCTTCAGGCTCTCAGCCCTGCCTCTTGCCCACTGTCAGTGAGCCCTTCTGACTAGAAGTCAGTAGGATGAGAATTCATTGTTGATATGCAGATGAGAAGACCAGGGCTGTCTAGTAAACAGTAAAAGACTACACACCCACAATGGTTTTCCTTCGTGTTGGAAAAATGACGCTACTTCAAGAACCAAGTGGTCCCTTGCTTTGGGTCCAGTATTATGGATGTTGCCCTGAGTGGGGAGAGTGGTGCGTCACCTCCCAGAGCTCTTGTCAGAGGCCCAAGGAAGGCGCCTCAGGCTTGCATGAAAACTACTTTGCTGCGGTGGAGGTTTGACAGGATCCAAGTTATTTATCACTGGGTGGGTGCGGGGACCGGGGGGGAGGGGGGAGTGCTTTTGCAAAAGGAGCAGGTTAGAAGGGGGAGGTAATGGGGATTCTTACAAAGAAAACCTCAAATCCAGAGGCTTATCAATATCCAGAAGGCAGCAGCTACCCCGGGCACAATTTGGTCCTTGGAATACTGAGTAGAGGAGGCAGCTAGTGTGAGTGCCTGACTCCCGAGATGGATTAACCGTTCTTTTTGGCTTTGGTAGTGTCGAAGAGCCGGGCTGCCTTCTTGCACAGCAGTGAGAACCAGTAGAGCTGGGGGGAGATGAGGATGGCATTGGCCACATTGCAGTGCATAGGGATATTAAATGGCACTCGGAGTACGCTTATCCCTTTGTGTTGGCCATAGGACCAGTACATGAAGAGGAAAAGAAGGATCCGGCAGAAGAGGAAGGTGGTCAGCGTGAGGATTCCATTGACCTTGTAAAGAAGGGTATGCTGCTGCCTCAGCTGCAAGGAGAAAAGAAGGAGAAGGCGAGGTCACCAAGAGCATGGGTCATCAGGTACGGAACCCAGCCTTACCACAGTCAAGCAGGTTCTTGTACAAGTCAAGGCCTACAGCGCTAAATTGCTTGGCACTTAGACACACACACACACACACACACACACACACACACACACACACACACACACAAGCAGGTATGCAGGCCCATGCATGTACCTGTGGAGACCAGAAGATGTTAGCTGTCACCCTCTCACTGGGGACAGGGTCTCACTGAACACAGAGCTCTCACCCTTTCAGCTAGGCTGCATACTCAGCCATGCCTAGCTTTCACAAGAACCAAGCTGTTACTTGCTTCTGGCCCAGTATTATGGATGTTGCCCTGAGTGGGTTGAGGGGGGATAACACGGCTTTGGTGCAGCAAACTGTCTTGCCCACGGAGCGGTCTCTTCAGCCACCATATACAGCCTCATAATTTTACCAAAAGTGATGCTGAGTTTGACCTAAGCCACAAGTGATTAAATTGTGGTCAGGAAAATAACGCAACAGTGTGTGTGTGTGTGTGTGTGTGTGTGTGTGTGTGTGTGTGAGAGAGAGAGAGAGAGAGAGAGAGAGAGAGAGAGAGAGAGAGAGAGAGAGAGAAATCAAAAGTTTCATCCACCTGGTCTGGATGATGATGTAACATGTCAAAGAGTCTCTTCTCCTGGTGCTAAGATCTCACCAAACCCTAGTCTCCAGAGGCTGGGTAGGATCTGTTCCCTCCGCCCTCACATCTGCTGTTTCACTCACACACACCTGAATCAGAACTCTGCCCAGCGACACAAATGGAGTACTCAGTTCTGCTGTGAAGATGCAGCCGACAAAGAAGTCTCCAAGTTCTCCGCGGAGCTTCTGCAGAGAGAAGAAAGGGGACTGAGATGTGGAGCTTCAGAAACTACTGGAAGGAAAATCCTAACAGGCTATCAGGAAAAGATTACCATGAGACCCTGAAGGGAGAAAAATGTTAACAGGCAAGTGGCCATCCAGTTAATTACCTGTTGCTTCCCTGCCAATCATGTGGGTAGGACCCAAAGTCAAATGCAGATAGGCTCACTGAGTCCTACAGCAGGCTTCATCTGATTTTAGGAACAATAGGGAGGAACTCTGTTGCTTTTGTGTCAAAAGCACTGGGCCTATTCAGTCATCGAAGTATGTGCTAGAAGGCAAAGTCCTTACTGAATGGAATACCTTCTTTTTTTCTTCCTGAAATAGCAGCCTATCTGATGGACTGACCTGCTCGGTAACATTGGACTAAGAAGACTTGGGGCAAAAGAGACGCTCAGCTGGTAAAGGCAATGGCCTACAAGCCTGGCAACCTGAGTTGGACCCCCATACCACCTATAGGGCCTACATGGTAGGAGAGAACTGACTTTTCCAAGTTGTCCCTTGACCTCCTCACTTGTGCCCATACATACACATATACACAAAGGAAATAAGAAAATAGAGTGCTGGATGTGGTAGTGCATGCTTTTAATCTCAGCACTCCAAGACAGGAAGATGGCTACACATTTGAGAACAGTGTGGTCTACATAGTGAGATCCTGTCTCAAAAACAAAAAACAAAAAAAACACCAAAAAAAAAAAAAATAGGGCTGGAGAGATGGCTTCGTGGTGAAGAGCACTTGCTGCTCTTCCAGGGATGAATTTGGTTCCCAGCACCATCATCAGGCAATTCAGAACTACCTGGATCTCCAGCTCCAAGGGATCTGATGCCACTACTGACTTCCACAGGTACCCGCACACCCACTTCAATAAAATAAAGCAGAAATGATGTCTATTGGTGCTGCAGGCCTATCATTCCAGCTCCAGGGGAAGCTGAGGTCGGAGGACTACAAGTCCAAGGTTAACCTGAGCAACTTAAGACTATTTCAAAAAGTCAAGAGAGCTGCGGGCACAGATGAATGAATGGTAGGCTGCTTTCCGATCAAGAACAAGGTGCCAATTTAATTCCTGGTAACGGGAGAAAAAAATAAAAACCAAAACAGGACAGGAAACAGAGGACCCAGGTTCAATTCCCATCACCCATATGGTGGCTCAAATCATCAGTAACTCTGGTTCCAGGGAATCCACCTGTAGTTCTGGCCTCTACAGCCTCCAGGTAAGCAAGTCGTGCACAGACATACATACAGGCCAAAACACCCATACATACACAATAGAAACAAATCTTTGAAAAAGTAACAGTGTGGCACACATTGTTAATCCCAGCATTGGGAAGTTTAATCCCAGCACTCGGAAGGCAGAGGCAGGCAGATCTCTGTGAGTTCGAGGCCAGCCTGGTCTACAAAGCGAGTTCCAGGAAAGGCTCCAAAGCTACACACACAGAAACCCTGTCTCAAAAAACACCCCCCAAAAAAAAAGAAAGAAAGAAAAAGTAACAATGTTGGCCAGGAGTCACAGACATTTCAGGTGGTATGGTCTTCCTCCTCTACTTGAGTGGAAGACCGAACCTAATGATGTAGTTAGCAGGAGGGTGGGCAGAGGACAGAAGGGAAGGAAAAGGGCTCTCCCGCTCCTAAGGAATGCCCAAGGCAGTTTCAGTGGCAGAATGGCTGGCTGAGGCTGTTGTCCTGAGAGGCTGTACCTGTGAGACAGGTACGAGGACAAACAGGATGACCGCATGATGCGTGACCATTAGCCGGTTTTCAATCAGGAAGTTCCGGAAAATGGTGGCACGTCTGAGTTTCTGGTCTCTGGTTCGGCACCATTCACAGAGGTACATGGCGTAGCAGTCATAGATCATGTATGGTATCAAAAACCAGACATATTCTCTGGCAAGCCAGTGCCTGAAAGAAAGCACAGGGACAGACAAAATAGCCATGGATGTCAGTGATGGAGCACAAAGTCGGTCTCTTCACTGGCTCTCTTCAGTTCTGTTCTCAATCAGCTATTCCTTTGGGCCCTTCCCAGTGAAGAGGGTGTTCTGTTAAGGAGGGTATCTCTAAATTACGAAGCAAACTCGTGAGGGTCGAGGGTAAAAAGCAGGCATCCATTCTGCCTGGATATACGGGTGGTTTACTGTAACTCTTCGCCTGGTTCCGCCACTTATCTACAGACTTCGAGTTTTTTGATAGAAACTGACTTCGATGGAGATAAACTTCCCAGTGATTCAGCAGCTCCACCAAGGAACTGGTTTGGAAGGTCTTCTAAATCACAAGTCCAACCTTTCCAGTTTAACTCCTCAGTTGCTCAACAGTTGGCAGTTTCAGAGTTTAACTTCTAGATCTACACATTTTCTCTTGCTTCTGAATGCCCCACTGTAGACAATTTGTAGAAAGCACCCTGGCCATGTTCTTTCCTTATCTATGGTTAACTGTGGATTCCATTCATTCATAAAAGTATGGGACCAGCTAGATGTGGCCTAGTGGGTTAAGATGTTTGCCTGACGACCCCTGAGTTCAATCTCCAGGACCTACGTGATGAAAGGAGAGAGTCATTTCCTGCAAGTTGCCTGACCTCCACAAGTACAACACGGTTCGTGTGCACGCACACACTAAATGAATTAAATTTACTTTAAAAAGAAAAGTGTGCATAGAAATAGGTTTGGACTTCAAGGACCACAACACAGCAACTAAATACCAAGAGAGGCTGGAACAGAAGAGGTCCATTTCCTGGCCTGATCTGGGGCATATATGTGTTCCTATAACTTGCCCAGTAGGAGTGAAACAACATTTGCTGAGCCAAAATGATGTTTTGTTACTGTTCCAGCATACACAGGAAGGACGATGTCTGCACTTACCAACATCACACAAAAACTTCATATAAAGAAACATTTAAATTGGAATCTGCCCTATGCTAGGGAGGATTAGATTTGTTTAGTAAATTTTTTTTGTTTGTTTTTGGTTTATTTTCATGGTTTTTCGAGACAGGGTTTCTCTGTGTAGCTTTGTGCCTTTCCTGGAACTCGCTTTGCAGATCAGGCTGGCCTCGAACTCACAAAGATTCGCCTGCCTCTGCCTCCCGAGTGCTGGGATTAAAGGCATGCGTCACCACCGCCCGGCTTGTTTAGTAAATTTTTGAGCAACCGTGTTAGAAGAGGAAACTCAGTATACAGTTCTCAAACTACCTAACCACCAGGTCACCTGAAGTGCTTGTGAAGCACTCTGTTCCCCAGAGAGTCTAAACCCATGTCTAGGGTCCAATCTGTATGTTTCACCTTGTCTCCAGTGATTTTCCAAGGAGCCAGTCCACTGAACTGCAGCACCGGGAAGCTAGAGAGGATGCCATGTGAGGGTGCCAAGCTAGAGAGGGTGCTAATTCTGTTCCTGAATTAGCTCCACATTTATCACAGCTCAGCTCAATCAAAAAAGAATGGAATAGAGGGAAATAATAATGGCACATAAATAATAATGACACTTGTAGGCAAACTGATTAGCCAGCGTTTCTCAGGGCCCAAAGATTTAAGACCTGTTCTAATGCCCGTCAACGGGACTCACTGCTTCTCAGAGCCATTTCAGGTGGAGCGACTGCCAAGAGCAGGCATGGCGGACCACACCTTCAATCCCAGCACCGAGGAGGCAGAGGCAAGCGGATCTCCGTGAGTCGAGGCCAGTCCAAACTACATAACGAGACACTGTTTCAGAAAGAAGAGACATAAGAGGAAAAACATGAAATGGTGCCGGCAAGATCAAACCCCAGTAAGATCCCAGGCCACCATGAGACAGTCTCTTTCTGGTTCCTCTTCCAGCAGGGAAACAGGACACTGCAAGGTGGAAAATCGGGAAAGGCCACCCAACTGTCCCTGGACACCTGCCTGTCACCCTTGAGCTTCTCGGAAGAGAAAAGAGTGGTTCAAAGAGCCAAGCGGGAAGACAGATAAATAAATAAAAACATCCTGATGTGGTGGCACATATCTGCTCTTCTGCTCTGAGGATACAGATGGAGGAGGAGTGCCACAAGTTCCAAGCTGGTCAGGTTTACAGATAAAACAAAAGCAACACCACTCCCCAGGTTTAAATAGGATAGCCCCTTCTGGTCTTTATTCATCTCACTGAAGCGTCACAGACGTCCATTTTCTGGCCTGACTTTGGGCACAAACGTGTCCGTTTTCTGAAGGCACCAGAAACCTCTTCATTATCTTGAGCAAAGGAAAAGCAAGCGCGGCACCTGCAGGGAATGGGAGGATGGACTTCTGCTGTCAATAGAGCAGTTGGCTACAGGCACTGTGCTACTATCTCTGCTAAAGAATGTCCCGGAGAGGGAGGCCGAGCGGTGGTGGCGCACGCCTTTAATCCCAGCACTCGGGAAGCAGAGCCAGGCGGATCTCTGTGAGTTCAAGGCCAGCCTGGGCTACAGAGTGAGTTCCAGGAAAGGCACAAAGCTATACAGAGAAACCCCGTCTCCAAAAACAAAATCAAACAAACAAAAAAAGAATGTCCCGGAGGGAGAACCCAGTGAAAGCATTTCAAAGAACCAAAAGCCATACTCCTACTTATAAAGAGAGACGGTGGGACTACACTGTCCTCGAACACAACACTCTTTAGCCACGCCCAGTCTCTTGCTCTCTAACATTTTCCACACTCCCCTCGGTTCTCCTAAGTTAGGATGCAGGAAGCAGTGAGAAGGCACTAATTAGGGTGCACAGGTTTTCCCACCAGGCAGTCACATACATCATAGCACGACAAAGAATAGCGCCTGTGAGCCACTAAAATGTGAAAACGTTGGGGGATGGGGAGTCCCTCAACCCGGGTATTTGTACTTCCACCTGGGATGGGACATTACCTGTCTGTGACCACGTCGCTGCAGGAGCAGATGATGATGAGCCCCGCCCCGGTGGCCAGCACTGCTTGCACCGAGGACACCAGCCTGAGGTGGGGCAGAGAAGAGAAACCAAAGAAAGCGTTCTTACTCCATGACTGCGGACAGCACAAAGCCCCACTCTCCAACCTGCTTGTCCCGGGCCCAGGCGCCCTCCGGGGCGGCCATGGCGTCGCGATGCCCCGAGCGGGGGTAGCAGGCAGGGAGATGCACACGCCCTTCCCGATCAGGCCCGCCCCACACCGAGGGGCGCTTCCCGCCGTCCCCTTTCCGCCCGCAACCCCGCGCAGGCCCGGAGCGGAGGGCAGCGCCCCGCCAGGGCGGTCGGCCCGGCCCCGCCGTACCTGGTGCCGACCGTCAGGCAGTCGTTGTCCGTCCATCCCGGCCGCGAGCGGCGCAGCGCCCAGGTGCTGAGCGCGAAGAGCCCCGGGAAGAAGAGCGCGCCGCTGGCCAGCGTCAGCAGCATCGGTGCGGGTGCGAGTGCGGCCGCTCGCTGCGCAGCGTGCTCGGGGCTGGCGGCTCGGCGGCGCGGCCCGCTCTCCCTATTTCTAACCTCCTCCCGCTCCGCCCGGCCGCCGCCACTCGGGCCCCGCCGGCACTGGCCGCCAGCCCCCGGCGCTGCCCCGCGTGACCAGCGCGCCGGCCGCGATAGGCGCGGGCAGGAGCTGGGGCGGGGTCTAGTTGCGAGGCTGCCGAGTCCCCTGTCTGTCACCGCGGGCGCGTGCAGGGGCCTCCCTGCAGGACGTGCACCCGGGCGGGCGCGATGAGCGCCAGGGAGGATCGGGCGGGTTGTGGCCGCCTGCCCTCCCTCATCCACCGATCCACCGAGCATCCTATCGTGGCTTCCAAAGGGAGTTTAAATGGCCTTCCTGCCCATCAGGGAGTGGCTTCTTTGGAATCGCCAAGAAGGCTTGAAAGCCTGCGTTCCTCCCTTCCTGCTGTGGTACTTGTAGACCTCTTGGCTTTGGACCCAAATACTACCTGAGTCTTGGTAACTGTGTAACTGTGCAGAGGATGACAGCTGTGTCCTTATTTAACAGTTCTTGGGCTAGGTGATTCCACTTTAGCTTAGCACCTTGAAACTCGCAGGACGGTCCAGCCGGTTCAGTATCGCCGACAGGACTCTCTTAGGAGAGAAACTGCTTTGGTTTGTAGCTTCTAACTTAAATGTGTGGGGAGAGGGGGTGGGTGTTAGGATTCAATTAATGCCCAGGACAATCGAAAGGTACTACAGGTCTCTTCAAATCACCATCATGAAAAATGCTCTCTAAAGTCTCCTTAGAGAGGTTTGACAGAACAACTGAGCTCAGCCTCTCTGAGCTGGACCACGATTTCCTCCTTTGTGAACGAGGAAGAAGCTGAATACAAGCCCTTCAAGGCTTTTCCAACTCTTAATTCTTGTGATACTGGGACCTCTATGAAATTAATAGCAGATGGTTTCTGATAGATGCCAATAAATTAACATTCAGTTAATGGTGTAGAAATATAGCGAACATAGCTTTTGCTTGTTTCAATTTGTATATAATTGATTATTGAGTCAGATTTTCTCAACTTTAAAAGGTAATTTCTCTTCTTATTTTTACTATTACTGGGCTGTAATCATTTGGGAGAAGACAACTCTTCATATCTCCCTACATGTTGCTAATGCGAATTTAGTTGACACTAAGGTAACAAAACTCAAAGAGAATCAGGACTTTCATTGCCTTAGGGCAGGCTGCATCTCTGCTTCTCCAGTTCACAGCTAACATAAATGGTAGATGAAAAGGACTCCAGTTTGGGACCAGGGTGCCTCACAAAAAAGACTCTCATGTGAACAAAGTACATCTATCTGTAAACTTTCCATTCTCTCCAGGAAACATCTTTGCCCATCCCCCTTTCTAGTCACTATCCATGCCTCCTGGTCACCTCCAGCTCCCCCAGTGATGAGTGGTTCTAAATCCTCTGTGCCTTGGCTCGGAGAGATTAGCAACATGTAACAAGTATGCTAAAAATGTCCAGTAGTCAGGACCGTCCTCCACACAGGAGGCTCTTCACTAAACTCTTAAGATGCCTTCATGAAATGAATACACAGCAATAGATGTTTCATATATGGAAACAGGAGAAAAATCAGTTTCCAACATTGTGCCCAAGGAAGTCACCACAATGTTTAGATCGATTCACTGTAAAGCCAGCAAACATTAATGTGAACTTGACTTTCCAGTAATCAAAGCCTTGTGGGAAAATGATAAAGCTGAACCAAAAGTACCAAGCCCTAAGGGAAGGGGAGGAGGGAGCACCAAACTATAAATAAATAAACAAACAAATAAATAAGTAATTTTAAGATGCTGCTTATCCGCTCATCCTCCAATGCTTCCCCCATGTTGTGTCTCTAACCCTGAGTCTTGCCCTTGTCAGGCATGTGCTCACCCACTGGGCTATCCTCCCAGCCCACTTCAAGTCTTGTCCAACATTTCCTCCTCCACAAAGATTTCTGTGTTCTTCCAGGTAGGTTTATAAATTCACTTTATTTTTTAAAATTTATTTATTTTTATGTACATTGGTGTTTTGCTTGCATGTAGGTCTGTATGAGGGTGTTGAATCCCCTGGGACAGACAGTTGTGAGCTGCCATGTGGGTGCTGGGAATTAAACCTGGGTCCTCTGGAAGAGCAGCTAGTGCTCTTAACCATTGAGCCATCTCTCCAGCCCCCATAAATTCATTTTCTAATGGGCGTTTTTTTTTTTTTTTTTCTTAGATATGGTCTCTCTAAAATGTAGCCCTGGCTAGCCTGGAATTTGCTACGTAGACCAGGTTGGGCTCAAACTCAGAGATCTGCCTGCCTCTGCCTCCCCAGAGCTGTCTTTGTATTTTATATCCCAAATTAAGCATGGCACCTCTCAAGGATTCAATAAATGATATTTTTAAACTGTATGTTGAGAACTATACTGTATGCTAGGCACCACATCAAACACTTTGCATGCATTAATTAAATCCTCAAACCTGTTACTGTGTGTGAGAGGGGAGGGGAGTGAGAGTCAGACCAGAGCAATTTAAAACTTACTCCGGGTCACATTGCTGGCAGCAGAGCTGGGGCTGAGTTTAGCACTGTCTACCTTCAAGGTTAACGTGGTGCTTAATGACTATATTGCTTACAAACTTGATAAAGGAGAGTAATACTCTTTCTCAATATGGTTTCAGAGTAATAACTACAAAACTACCGTTCCTCATTGTTTACTTGCAAGTTTCAGTGTGGGACATGGAGTTTCGGGGCTCAAATGCTACTTTTAAGATGTGCATATGTGTAGTGTGTGTGCCCACGGAACACACAGGCATGCAGCCAGAGGCCTGCCCTATGGCTTTCTGCCGTATTTCTTTGAGACAGGACCTCTTATTGAACCTGGAGTGAGGCTGGCTGCCAGCAATCCCAGTAATCCTCCTGCTTCCACCTCCAACAGCCCTGGGGTTAGAGGCGTCCACAGCCACACCCGCCTTTCTGTGTGGGGGCTGGGGATTCAAACGCAGGTCATCATGCTTGCACAGCACGCCCCCAGCCCAAATATTACCATTAACACTAAAGCTGAGCATGTTATTAATGACTTTTTGTACGCAAAGAAACCCCAATGTGGATGGGAAGCTGACTTGCCATCCTGTGAAATGAAAGGACTCCAGGTAAAACCTGGACCTTCTGATTTGACTTCTAGGGTTATTTCAACAGCTTCACACCACAGTGGTAGGATTGCTGAAGTTTACAATTTGCTGCTTGTATGGGTTTCCAGAGTGAAATCTGGGTCAGATTCGATGGTACACACTTGTAATCCTAGCACTTGGGAGGCTGAGGCAGAAGGATTGCAGTAAGTTCAAGGCAAGCTTGAAATACACAGCAGGTGAGCTGGGGCCATATAATAAGACTTTCAAAAAAAGCAAGGCTGAAACTTGGATGCTAGATGCTAAGTTAAGGCTCCTTTACCAGACTCAAAGTCTTACCGGGGCTGGGGAGACAGCTTGGTAAAGTGTAAAGTACCTGTTGCATAAGTATAAGGACCTGAATCCTATCCTCAGAGCCCCTGACAGACATCAACTAGGCATGGTAGTGAGCTGGAAGCCCCAGCTCTGGAGGGGTGGCCAAGCAGATCCCTGGGACTTTCAGGACAATCAGAGAGGCCTGGGCCAATGAGAGAACCTGTCTTAAAAACAGAAGCTGAGGCCGGGGAGTGGTGGCCTTTAATCCCAGCACTCGGGAGGCAGAGCAAGGAGAGTTAGAGGCCAGCCTGGTCTACAGAGGCCTACAGAGATCCAGGATAGGCACTAAAACTACATGGAGAAACCCTGTCTCGAAAAAACAAAAACAAAAACAAACAAACAAACAAAAAAACCCACAAGCTGAAAAGCGCTTTAGGAATGACATTTGAGATTGTCTTCTGGCCTCCATAGACACACACACACACACACACACACACACACACACACACACACACACACACACACACACACACACAAACACCACTCTTTGAACAGGAAATTTATGAAGATCTAGTTTAGTCAGGAGTCTACCACTGAGGTATGTGGTCTTCCTTTTTGGTTCTATCCCATTCCACTAGGCTGCTTGGACATCATTAGCAGACAGGATATAGAGACTCTTCCCATGTCTGCTTCCCAGACATAAACTGAATAGTCTGTTTCCTTGTGAAATATTTGCCAATTCCCGGGTGACTACCATGTATGTGTTGTGTGGGCTACTCCCCTTCATCAAAGAGATCAGCTTCCTGTCCAGGAAAAAGCTCCTACAAGGAAACAATTTAGATTCACACACAAACATCTTTATTTTGAACTCCAGAATGAGAACTTGGAGGTCTCATCCATTCATATGCTTTTTGTTGTTGTTTTGTTTTGTAGCCCTGACTGTCCTGGAACTCACTTGGTAGCCCAGGCTGACCTCAAACTCACAGAGATCCGCCTGCCTCTGCCTCCCGAGTGCTGTGATTAAAGGCGTGTGCCACCACCACCTTCATATATCCTTTAAAAATCCTAATAGAGAACATGGGATCTTACAGTCAGTTATTTTGTTTGGGGCCACATTCTTTGTCACTTGGGGATTGATGAAGCAGAGACAGAGTAGGAAGGAGGACCAGAAAATGAACTGATGGGAAGAGGCCAGGAGATAAAGAGACAGGAAGATGATCAAGAGAAACCAAGCTGGGCTGGAGAGATGGCGCAGTGGTCAAGAGCACTCACTACTCTTGCAGGGGACCTGAGGAGTTCAGCTCACAACCATCTATAACTCCAGCTGCAGCCCTTTTGGCCTCCGAGGGCACCTACACTCACACGCATGCGCACTCCCACACACACAAAATTAAAAATAAAATAAATATATTTTTTATAGAGAGACAAAAATAAAGTTTTAGGGAATAAACCAAGATCTACCCAAGTCAAGGGCGAACAGACACAAAGACCCAGAGAGTGACAATTCCAACAGCTAGGCAAGGGGAAAGGATGAAAGACACCAAGATGCAACGCGGCACACAAAAAGGAAGAGGGTGATGGCCTTCTGTGGACCATTGTTTTCTTTAGGTGAACACCCACAAAAGCCACATGGCAGAAATAAGGAGGTGACTTGCCATTAGTGCTGAGGGTGTGGCTAGGAAGAAATCAATCACCCTCCTCTTGGTTTCTCCTGCACCTTGCACTCAATAAACAGCAGATCGGTACAGCCCAGCACTGATGTGTGCCTACTGTTTGCGCAGGTGGTAGTGGCTATCTGGGAATTCAGACAGCACTGAGGCTGGGTTCAGAGACCCCGAATCCTATCCTGGTTTTGGAACTGACTCATAAACTGTGTGACGTGGAGAAAGCAACTTCAGCTCCACTATAACATGGTGGTGGTTTGCGGGTGTGTGTGTGTGTGTGTGTGTGTGTGTGTGTGTGTGTGTGTGTGTGTGTCTACCTGCCTCACAGGGTGGCTTGGACAATCAAGTGAGTTATGAATCAAAACTTCATGTTAAACTATGTGCCAGGCACAACAAAGGATCATTGTTCCTGGCTGCCCGAAGCACAGTTCTCTGCTGCTAGACGTCTCAGGAAATATTCTGGTTTGAGTGTGGAATACCATGAGAGCTCTTGTGTGGAAGGCATGGTACCCAGTGCAGTATGGCGGAGAGGTGGGGCCTTTGGCTCTGACCTCATCCAAGGATTAGTCCATTGATGGACTCAGGTTTAATAGGTGTGCTGGGTGTGGTGGGGACTTTAGGAGGCAGGGCTTAGATATAAGGTCACCATAAGGGTGTATTTTATTTGAAGCCTCCCTCTCTGCACCCCCCTGACCCCCATAAATGAGCAGCTTTGTTTTGCTGTGTGTTCCCTGCCTCTCCACAAGCCCAACCGAGCACAGTGGTGCCAAATGCCCATGAATGGAAACTGTGAGCCGACACGGATCCTCCTTTAGGATTTGCCTGGACCTTTTTCAGGTTTTGTCTTTTAACAGTGACAGAAAGGTGACTAACATAATAAGCACCTGTTAGATTAAAAATGCCTTTGACTAGCCTTAACTAGCCTAAACCAGTTCCAGACTTCAGCTTTCCTGGGTTCTATCCTGGCCTATTTGCAAGAGCAAACTGTGAGTCCTCTAGGAAGCACGGTCACACCCCAGGTATGTGGTTTCTGCAAACAGTGGCCACAACCACAGCCACACACCAAAGGGCAGTCTTTGCTTTTGTGCACTGTGATACTGATCCTGTCAATAAAACCATAATTTACACAAAGAGCTGATTATAAAGTGCTTGCCTTTGTGTATTACTTCTATTTTTGAAGACTTTCACATACACATTTCTTTTGTAAAAAGTGAAACATTTGGATTGTCTGTAGGTCACAGTAACCTAAAAGCAAGCACTTCTAAATTCATGTTTTAAAACTATTCAAGGACATTGAGCCATTAGGAAAATCACCTTGGAATGAGGAGAGCCAGAAAAATCCCTGTGCATAAATTCAGCTGCCTTCCTGAATTAGAAATAAGACTAGCAAGATTTGATATCTTCATGTCTCACAGGTAACTAACTCCACAACAGGGTTACTGGTTGCTTAAGTCAGATGGCTTTTTATATTGTTTTCTGATTATAAAGTGGATTATATTAAAATAAAGCATGCCCATTACAGATAATAATAATCATCATCACTAATAATAATAATGCCATACTCTGGTAGCATTCTCTGCAGTCATCTTCTTCGTTTTATTTATTTTATGTTTTGAGACAAAATCTCACTGTGTAGCCCCAGCTGGCCTGGAGCTCTCAATGTAGCCCAGGCTGGCCTCAAACTCGTAGAGATCCACCTGCCTCTGCCTCCTGAGTGCTGGGATTAAAATCAAGGGATAGGATGAAAGGAACGTGCGACCATGCTCAGCCAGTGCTTGCATCTGGAACATATTTGATTGAAATAATGTATTAGAACACTAATACTTAACATGCTTCCAATGTTATTTAAAATTTCACAAACTTCATTGTTAATAAATCGTAAGAATTTGAAATTTTAATCACTATAATATCTTTCAAAGACAAGAGACTGCTTCCATTTTTCTTTTTGTTGTTGTTGTTGTTTTTGAGATAAGGCCTCACTATGTTTCCCTGGCTGTCCTGGAACTTGCTATGTAGATTAGGCTAACCTCAAACTCTCTGAGACCTATCTACCTTTGCTTCTTGAGTGTTGTCTGTCTGTTTTCTTTCTTTTTGTTTGTTTGTTTTGTGTGTGTTTTGTTTTATATTTTACTTTTTAAAAAAGTATTTCATTTTTTATTTATATATGGGGGGTAGACGTCATCAGTCTGGCAGTGTCTTTTTTTTGAAACAGGGATCTCTCTTTGGGACTCAGGGCTTGCTGTTAGGCTCGGCGAGCCCCAGGTATCTGCCTATCTTCACCTCTTCAGAGGTGAGATCACACAAGTGTGTACCAGATGCCTAGCTTTTTTCTTTCTTCTTTTGTTTTGTTTCCCCAGAGTTTCACTGTGTAGCCCTGGTTGTCCCGGAACTCACTCTGTAGACCAGGCTGACCTCAAACTCACAGAGATCCACCTGCTTTTGCCTCCTGAGAGCTGGGATTAAAGGCGTGCGCCACCACCATCTTGCTGGCGTTTTTCTTTTTAAAAAGGGTGAGTTCTGGAGCTCAAACTCAGGTCCTCGTGTCCACACAGCAAGCACATTATCAGTTGAGGTATCTCTCCATCCCTATTTGTTTCAGGCTGGCCCCGAGCTCTTAATTCTCCTGGTTTAGCTTGCTGAGCACCGGGATTAAAGGCAACACCACACTGAGCTGACTGGCTTCCACATTTATTCACAGATGAACAGAATTAAGGCTTCTTCTCTGGTAACTTTAATCTCAAAAGTATTCAGAGTCCTATCCTTACTAGCATCCAGCAACTGAGTAAGCATCACAGTGTCTATAGAAACCCAAGCTTCTTTTTTAAGTACCTAACTTGTTCTTCATACAGAAGGAACTCCACTAATCTGTAGGGAGGTTTAAGTGGTATATTCATTTCAGCACTTGATAATGAATGAAGAAATGAACGAAGAAAAAGCCATTCTTGGTAAGGTAAAGTTTACAGCTTTTACTATACACAGCTAATGCCAACCAGAAAAGTCATATTTTAGTAAGACTGTAGGTAATGCCTGGAGACTAAAAACAAGGCCGAGAAAGCTGATTAGTTATAAATACTTAAACATCTTATTCGGGAGGCACCACCATACAGAACACCCGGAGTGTTGGCAGCAAGCTCACCATGGGGGGTGATGTGGCCACGCTGCTGGGCCTCAGAGGGTGTTAATGATCAGTCCACAGATTGAACTATGGGTCGTGAGCCAGGCTGAAGTACCTCTACCTCGCTGGCAGAAAAATCCCCACATTGCCAGGAAACATGAAGGAGCTGTCTGGCAGAGGCCTTAGAAAGATCTGGAAAGTTTTAAGTAGTATTAGTGCAGGGTGAAGGCCAGGGAGCATACACTAATCAAGATGTTGCTGCCCCACCCCCACCCCGCCCCCATGATGTTCTGCATTCTGAGGTGTTACCTTTGCCTTTTTGGTACTTCATGCTGTCCTGTATTTATCATTACCGCCTGTGTCATGTGTGAGCACAGACACATGCTCACGTGGGGGTCAGAGGGCAACTCTCAAGAGCCTGTTCTCTCCTTTCACTGTGGGTTCCCAGGAGGGAGCTCAGGTAGTTAGACTTGTGAATACTTTACCCACTGGGACATCTCAGCAGACCTTGTATGTGCTCGTCTGTGTCGGCTGTCAAGTGCACTGCTCACGCCATCTGCTGCTGTTTAATGTCCTCTGTTAGCACTTTTATAACTATGATAAAACTTTAATTCCTACCCTAACAGCACATGCAGAAACTCTCAGAAGAGCATCAACGTTACAAAGGCAGAGAAATATGTACTGAGATCACTGTTTTCTACTAGCATCAGTTTAGTGAGAAAAATGAAAAAATCAGTTGAAACAGAATAAAATAAGGTGTCTAGATACAAGATCAGTATACAAATATAAATGACTTTTTATATGAGCAATGAATATCAATTAGAAAATATAATGGGAGGCTGGAGAGATGGCTCAGAGGTGAAGAGCACTGGCTGCTTTTGCAGTGGTCCTGAGTTCAATTCCCAGCAACCACATGGTGACTCACAACCATCTGTAATGAGATCTGGTGCCCCCTTCTGGCCTGCAGGCAGACAGAACACTATATACATAATAAATTAAATAAATAAATAAATAAATAATACGATGGAAAAGAGGATTATATAAAACTTTGTTAGCTGGGCTTAGTGGTACATGCCTTTAATCCCAGCATTCAAGAGACAGAGACAAGCAGATTTTTGTGAGTTCAAGGCTAGCCTGGTCTACATATATTGAGTTCCAGGACAGCCAGGGCTACATAGAGACACCTTGTCTCAAAAATCAAGCAAACAATGGAATAAAACCATCTAGGTGTGACAGCACGCACTCATGACTCCAGCACTTGGGAAGTTGGAGCAGGAGGATCAGTATTTTTCTTGCAGGGGGTGGGAGTTATAATCTAATTACATTTCTCCCTCTCCTTTCTTCCCTCCAAACTCCTCTTATATCCCTTCCCACTCTCCTTCAAGTTCATGGCCTCCTTTTCCCCTTGGAGGATCAACATCCTAAGGTCATCACTGGCTACATGTTGAGTTGAAGACTAGCCTGAGATACCTCATATACTGACTCAACCGCCCCCCATGCATATATATGCTCTACATATATGTATATAATGGCTAGTTTTAGGCCTAACAAAATATGCAAGATTTATATGAAAGCAACTGTATAGCTTTACCAAACACATGAATGCCTGAGCAAATAGAGAGCGTGGTCCTATGACGAAAGATTCAATATTATAAACGTTGATTTTCCCTAAATTGATGTATAAACTCAATGTGACCTCAATCAAAACCTAAATTTTGCTAATTAGAGATAATTTTTATTACAGCCAAGAAATACTTGAATTGACTAAAAGGGCATGGAGGAAAGAAAAGGAGTTTTGCTAGAATATATCAAAACATTCCACAATCAACCATAACTGAAACAGTAAGGAAGAAGCAAAGACATCAGGGGAACAAGACAGTCTTGAATTACTGCTGATTTTTGTTTTTTTGAGACAGGGTTCTGTGTATCTCAGGCTGACCTCCAACTCACTATGTAGCCGAGGATGATCTTGAACTTGCCATCCTCCTGCCTCTGCCTCCAAGATCACAGCCTGCCCCATCAGGCTTCAGGCCAGCACTCTACCAACTGAGTTACATCTCCAGGCCTTTTTTTTGAGACAGGATCGCAAGTGGCCCAGGTTGGCCTTGAACTCACTGTGTAGCCAAGGATGACTTTGAACTCCTGATCTTCCTGCCTCCACCTTCTGAATGTTGGGATTACAGGAATGCTATGCTACATCCAGATTATGTATTATATCTAGAGTGCTGAGGACCAGACCCAGGCTCTTATACAATATGTGCAGGCCAATGTTCTACCAACTGAGCTACAACCCCAGATTATGTATTATATCTAGAGTGCTGAGGACCAGACCCAGGCTCTTGTACAATATGTGCAGGCCAATGTTCTACCAACTGAGCTACAACCCCAGGCCAAAACTGATTTGTGGCAAGTATGTCAGAACTAGCAAGAAAACTATAGAAACCATTAACCTCCCATCTGGAAAACTCCTAATTCTAAAATTGGGAGTTGAAATTTGTTTGAGACAGTTCCACTCTGTAGCCCAGGCTGGCCATCCTCCTGCCTTGGCCTCTCAGGTGCTGGAATTATGGTATGAGCCACCATATACATTTTTGTGTATCAGGGATTGAACATGGGCCTTGTGCACACTAAGCAAATGAGTTATAGCCTGAGCCCTAGGAGCTGAATAGTCCATTATAACCCATGTCCCCCCAGAGCCTCCAAATATGAACTCATTGGTAACTAAGGTAAGGACTAAGAAGAGGCCACACTAGATTAAAGTGGAACCTACCCCAAGAAATCATTAGCCCGAGATTCTCCTTAGAACAGTCAGGGCTCTCACGGACAGCGGAGACAGGAATGGGAAAGTGGAGCGGGACAGGAATGCAGAGCCTGTAGGCAGCAGAGGCCCAGGGCTGCCGCTGGCCACCAGAGGCTGAGGAAGAAGGCATGGGAAGATTTCTCCCTCAGAGTCTCCAAGGTGGAGCCAACCCTCCAACATGCTGTTTCAAGGCTCTGGTCTCTGGAGGTGTGAGAAAATGTCTGTTGTCATCAGCCCCCCAGCTCTGGCAATGCATTATACCAGTTGTAGGAAACAAATGTAACACTGCCACACACTAGGCAAGAAGTGAGGTTCAGGTGTATTAAATATCAAACACACCAAAGGCCGTTGAAGAAATGTCAAAAATTATTTTTATAATTTCTAAAATTTCCCAAGAAAGATATAAAACCCAGATGTGACATAGATAGATCTAAAAATCAAACAGGCCAGGGAGATGGCTCAGCTGTTTAACATGCTTGCCACCAAGCTTGGCAACCTGAATTCCATCTCTAGGATATGGTGGAGGGAGAACCGACCCCCACACTGATTCTTCTACACATGCGCGCACACACACATACACACACACACTCACGCACACACACACAAATATCTTTCAAAATTTTACAAATTATAAAGACTGGAAATAGAAGAAATACAAACAGGCTGATACAAACTTTGTAATACTTAAATAACCGATACTATCTAGTATGCCAAGGATTAAATGATACAGGCTTCTTTTATAGTGCTAATGTAAGATAAATATGTATTAAAAGGGTATTTGTGCCAGGCAATACTTATAATCCCAGCAGCACTTGGGAGGCTGAGGTAGGAGGATCATGAATTTGAGGCCATCCTGGGGGTACACA